GTTTCATTGAAGTCTGGTGCAAATGATTTGCTCCAGTAGTGGTCTAATCATAAACGAAATGCGAAAAAACCGTTTCAGCGACCCTTTAACGTGCACCTAAATTTAAGCACACGGGTCCAAGCATCTCCACCTCCACCAAAAATGCGGCTGTCTGGGCTGGGATTCGATTCCGCGACCTGCGGGTCACCATCCGAGTGCCTTAGCCACTAGACCACTTCTGCAGGTATTATTCTGCATTCAAAAGCAGTGCAAATAGTCATGGCGAAGCTGGTAGCACTAGCACGACCGGAGACCATATTTCGCCGCTGCAAAGCTCCCGTATATGCTTCAAGGCAGCTGTTTATGCTGACAAACAAAGCAGTTCTCAATCCTCTCGTTCCCGAATGTGACATACGTGCAGGCCATGTATAGTAGAAGACTACGTTGTACCTAGGTCTCCAGCTAAGGGATGACCCTGATTAGGATTCCTCGATGTGCGTGCACCCGTGCGGAGTCATTCTTTGAAAAGGTGAGTGCCGCCTTACGATCGGCAACCACTATTCAGCTCCCCCGTCTCGCCGCGGCTGGTTGAGTGAGACACGTGCGGAGTTTTCTAAAAAAAATAAAAATACACGGGTGTTGGGTGCCACAGTGCACAAACTACTAACGAAATGGCTATAGGACATACAGATTTCTGAAAGACCCAAAAAGGTTACTTGTGGCTGGTAAAGATCATGCGCGACAAGTGACAACTCACAATCCGTTCATGTTTCTGCTTTGTAAGTTATGCCATTTGAGCATTTCGAGAATCATAACCTAAAGCGCTGTCACATGGGCACTTTTGATCGCGATCGAGCCCGACATGATTGACTCTGTTACGCCAGCTGCGAAAAAACGCCAATGACTGTTTAGAAATTTGATCCTGGTGGGGCTTAACCGTGCTCAACAGCACACCGGGTGCAATACACATTCATTTGCATATTGTGTAGATGCGTATTTAACTCGTTTATTTTGGATAGCACAAAGCCCATTGTTAATCGCTTGTTGTAAACAAGCTGCCATTGCACAAAGATGTGCGCCTACGTTGTGTGCTTGTCGCTACCAGCGCCTTGAACTAGTTGTTTTTATAACACGATATTGAAAGCACGAATCCCGTAAGTTCATTGTCAAAAAATATTTTCTCAATGTCCTCGTTTTTTTCTAAAAAAGAAACCAACCCTTTCATTTCTTACTTATTAACCCCATGGCTTCGCCTGCAGCAACCTGCCGGTCGGGTTGGCAAAGTCAAAAGCACTTTGACCAGCAAATCACTGGCTGCCAAGAAAAGACATGTGCTGCGGTTGCCTTGCTGTAGGTTGTAACGCTTGTTTTTGAAGTATATTAAAGCTACCGTCCAAACAAAGCTGTAGCATCTGAAACTGCCAAATATTGAATACAATCTGCTTTCTCGTTGTAAAGCCGTGTAGTAGCTTCATTTTAGCGATATCCATTAACTCTTTAAAACAATTACTAATATACAATATATTCCCATTAAAAAACAGTAAACCTAGTTCGATAGCCAATATCTTTGTGCGAGTCATGATTTAATGCCATGAAAGCCATACGCAGGGCACCAAATTCATATGCTTCAAACAATTGTTTTGCCAATCTGCTATTTGCACTACAATAAAATAGAAGAAAACAAAATTCACAAAAATGCCAGGCCTGCGCGGAAGGTGTAGCACAGTCACAGCGAAAGCTAGAAGAGCGGCCTTTCAGAGCCTTTTCTAAATTTTCTTTGTGTAACTGGTACAAGCAGACTTGCTGGGTACCGACTATGGCATTAATAATCGTAATTTCTGGGTAGTATACCAGCATTTGCTATGCTGTTTTTCGTCATTTTTCTGAGAAGCATTGTAACCGATAAACACTTGCAAGAAATTTCATGCAAATTGTTCATGCCGTGGCTGAAGACGATAAGGAATTACACCTGAAGTGGCTATGTGCCACAGTTATTAGGTGATCAAAAAAAAAACACCAGGCCGCACGGAAGGCACAGCACGGTCACAGTGAAAGCTAGAAGAGCAGCCTTTCAAAGCTTTTTCAAAACATTCATTGTGTAACTACTGCAAGCACGCTTGCTTAATACCCCCCACGGCATTAATAAACTTTTGGGGTAGTAGGCCAGCACTCGCTATGCTATTTTTTGTCATTCTTCTGAGAAGTGCGGTATCCGCTAAACACTTGCAAGGAATTTTGTGCCAATAGTTCCTGCAGTGGCTGACGACGATGAGGAATTATGGCTGAAGCGCATGGGTATGCGCCACAGTTTATAGGGGAACAAAAACAAGCTTTTGTAATGTGTTTGAGCATCGGACAGCCCACTCGTGAGGCTATTCGCATTGTGCGATGACTGGCTGTTCTTTCGCTGTTTTAAAACGCTTTATAAGTCAAATTAAGGCGATTGCTTTCTCAACATCAAGCCTGCCTAAGGCAAGTTTGTCAGCAAGTCACAAGCACCAGTGTAGCTCAGTGGTAGAATACTGGGCTGGCACCCAGCGGACCCGGGTTAGAGCCCCACTGTGTCTTTGGTGCTAGTTTTTTTCTTTCCAATTTGGTGCGATGTGGTTATGGACACTGGCGGCGGCGGACAACTGCACGTGAATTGAGTTGCTTAAACTCGGATCACGCTTGATAGGTTGCTTAAACAGCCTATCAAGGCCTACAAGATGGCCTCCATTAGGTAAGAAATTTAATAACCTTCAACACTCTAACACGTGTTGCACAGCACAGACTTCTAGGGCCCAGCATTCTGATGCCTTTAAAACAGCTTGTGCATATGATATCGTTTCTGGCTTTTCCATTTGACACACACCAGCTGAAGTTACAACCACGGTAAGTTGAAACGTAAGAAGCTGCAACTAAAGCGAACTGCAACTATATTACGCTTATTTTTGCAATCCACTAGTCTTGAAAGCAAATTAAACATGCCACTGCTTCCTTATACATTGCCCTAAAATTGCTCCTTTCAGAAGGCAATCAACACAACCTTTGTCGTTAAATTTGAAAGTGCAACAGCTCTGCTGAAAAAAAAAAACGTCATTTGGTAACTGAAGGCTTATCTGAATACTACTTTCTTGGGCTAGCGTGGTGCAGGTACGAGACTGACAAGCCACTTAATGCCAAACGACTACACAGACTCATTATTTTTTTAAAGCGATTGTGCACAAAATCTCAAAACTTAAAAATTTTTCAGACATTAATTGTGCACAACTCTTTATAGAAGCTATGTAATTGCATCCCCTTCGGTCACAAATTATGATGAGCTGTACTATTATATCACCTTCGGTCACAAATTATGATGAGCTGTCGCATGGCGTAATTCTAAGGCACTCAGTATTACATTCCAAGTAATGAAACAAATAAAAACATTGTTTTGTGCGAGTTTTAGTAATTAAGGTTAATGAGTGTATAACTGGACATCTAATTATTGAGCCCCCAGTCAGCTTCAGAACTTCCACAAAGAGAATTAACTATTAGGCCCGGAATGTAGCGCAATTTGTTTTTTGTTTGGCTGTACTTGTTTCAAGGAAAGACAAAGATACTTTTCATGCTGGTCCTAGTATGTGTCGCGTCGAACAATCATTGACAAGCAATACACAGCATAACAGAGTTCAGTAATTGCCTGTTGTCCACTCAGTAGGCCTGCACGAATGTGCACACTGACTTTCAAGCCATTCGCTTCAACACGCCGTGAGTGACGTGACATTGAAGTTGGCGTATACATTCGTACACACCGGGGCTGAAAAGGGACATGCTATAATTTCCTGCCTTCCAAAAGATGAAATATGAATGCAACGCTGTCGCCTCTAGCCTTTTGGTGGATGTGCGGTCGGAAGCATCCTCGATACAGTTGTCCTCGCAATTAACAGAATACACGAACAAGACCCTTGGCCGCATCAGTTTTTTTTTTTTTTTTGCGTATGATGCACAAACTTCATCAGCACTACCACTACCGCTGCCTACCAATAAGCACAAAAAAGCTCGTGCACTGCTATCAGCTCTAGCACCAGCAGACATCAGAGTCGGACCACTATATTCGTCAGAATCGACAGAATACTTATCCTGAGCATGTTTACAAGGAATAAAAAATGCTTACTACGAAAAAAAAAAAACTTCGCAAATAGCGTCGTTATCAGCACTCTGAAAACTGCGTTGATAATATCGACATTCACGTTCACTTTGCATCGCTTATCGACAGCGACGACTTTAACCAACGGACGCTAACGTCTGAACGTGATCACAGTTTTCATCAGGGGAAAAACAACAACTAGAGCTACACAAACATCTCAGTAGCTACCATACCTAACTGAACTACGTGAACGGAAGCACTAACGAGGTGCTAGCAAGGCAACACCAACAACGTATTTCGGGCTGGGGCGGTCGCAACAGCTGATTCTTGAAATGGTCGCGCTCGAGCGCAGAACGATAATCATCCTAGTGATCACGGCGGTAATGACATAGCAACTTTTACTTATCAGACGGACGGCCGAGTATCTGTCGCACTGCAGGTTCCTTACTGTTGTTAGCTAGTACTTTTTGGTTGCGAATAAGGACAACCGAAATCGGCCCGTGCATTGAGCAACAGAGCGCCGCTGGCAAGAGCGACATTTTACTGAAGCGTAAGACAGCAAACCTATTTCCATTGTTTTTAATGGTCAGTGCGTTCAACTACGAAAGCTGTGTCCACTGACATCGGCAGACGATGCAGCGCAAGGAACTGAAACTAAAGAAAAATTCTGTATTCACCGGGAAAACAAGCACTGGGTTAGGCCTACGAGTTGCGTTTCGCAAGCCGCGCAAGTGGTAGTATGCCGAAACTTGGCACTGCTTTGCGGTATGTGGGCAAGCGACGCGACCAGACGGTCGATCGTCGCTCACGAGACTGCAAGAGTCAAAAGGCGCCAGACGTCAAGCGCTCAAAGGGAGTGCGCAGTTAGCCGTCACGCGATAAGTGCAGTGCGCAGCGGGCGAGCCCCCACCTTGCTTACTCTTGGCGTCACTGTTGGCATTGCCCTTGGGTGCCGATGACGAAGAGCGGGCAGAATTTTTCTTGTCCATCGCTGGAGACTCTAGCATGGACGGCGACGACACAGACACCGTCGTCGGCGAAGGCAGACGCGCTGGTACAAGCGGTGGCGACTCCGAAAGGAGTTGCAATAGCTACCTGGGTCTTCATGGCCGAAACAATTCAGAAGAGCTGCATATTGAAACACCGGCAAATAAAACTGTACTCTATAAAAGAGACCAATGATAATTAGGATGGGGGGCCGGACGGCTAGGCTAAATCAAGATGACCAGGAGGTGGGGGACGTCGTAATCCCCCAATCGTCCAATTCGGACGAAATTTGAGCTAGGCACCGAATGAAACGTCCTGCTTCGTCGCAAAATGGCGACGACGACGGTCGCAGTCACTGTTGCCAAGAGAGTTTCTACACCTCGGCTAAATTAGAGCGCTATTTGTGGCAGAAGCACGATTGGCGGAAGTCATGGGAGTCACGCGCACTGTGCATACGGCGCACACATGGCACACGGGCTTGCACGGGCATCGTGTTTTCATGCTCTCTGCAAGAATAATAAATAGAAATGCGATTTGCTGTCACTAATAATGGCTACATATGAGGAGTAATAAACGCGAGCGCTTGCAATGAACGTGCTCATCAAGCGCATTCTTTTAAAAGAACAGCAAAATGGCTAGTAAAAAAAATCAGCTTTTTTTTTCTAGCAGCGCTTTGCTCTTGATAGCCCGTCCATGCCGCTTTTTACACACTGCTCGCATATACAAACAGCTTCCTGTATATATATATATATATATATATATATATATATATATATATATATATATATATATATATATATATATATATATATATATATATATATATATATGTATGTATATATATATATATATATATATATATATATATATTGTAATAATACACAGTACTATAGGCTGGGGTGTCAGCCATCTTCTTTATTTCTGACCTCTTCTTCCTCCTCGTCTCCCTCCAACCCTGCCTAACGTCCACGTACACTCCCCCTCTTTGAAGACTCATCCCTCCTGGGGTGATACATGAAAACGTTTCCAACGGTCGCAAACTCCAGCAAACCATCATCTTTGGTGTAACCGACCCTTTTAAGAACGCCACGTTGCACTGCGATCTGCATCATGCGTTAAGGTCCCATGTACACCTGCTTTGTGCCGGGAAGGCCTTTTCTGACAAGCACCAGATCGTTCAGTTGTATCTGAGGTATCCGCGTTTTGCGGCGACGATCAAAGTTCCTCTTCATACGTTCCCGGTATCGCTGGTAGGCTTCCGAAGTTGTTCGTTTTTCGCACAATTGAAGGCGGTCTGCAATGTCAAGTTCTTGATCAGCAGGAAGCACTGGTACCTTTCCGAAAGCTGCAAAATATGGGCTACAGCCGATGCTCGCTGTGTGCGACCGGTTGTGATGAGCGATAGCTGCCTCCAAGCAGCACTTCCATCTACCCTGAAAACCTGGATACATTGAAATGAACTGCTTCAAATCCCGAATGATTCTTTCAGCCATGCCATTTCCTGCAGGATGGTACGGAGCGCAGCGTCGCAATACAACTCCTCGTTCCTTCGCCCAATCTTGCAAACGCTGACTGAGAAACGCTGGCCCATTGTCTGATATTACTATTTTCATATTCATAAATGGGCTGTTCTATCATTGCTATTGCTGCCAATTCCTGAAAGCAGCACGGTTTTTCTTCATTCGGTGTTGTTATGCTAGCTGTTCACAATGCTCCACGCATTCAGATAACTTCGAAATCGCATGTCACAGGTCCCGTTAATTCGGGAGGCGATCGCCGGGCTAATTCCAAGGGCCGAAGTATCGGCCCCCCGAACCGCACCACGAAAGCGTGGACAATTTAAAAGTGGTCCTATTTGGCGCGCCAGCGGACGCCGGCTGTGACCCAAAGAACAAGTCAGAGCCGAGAGTTGATAAACAAAACAAAACTATATTCTCAGTTATGGCAGATCAAAACGATACACAAGTATGCACACTCGACAATAGTTGAATACAATATGTCACCAATCAAACAACGTACTACACAGTACAATCAGCCACACTCGAAACAACGGCCACAGACAACAATACACACTACAATGCAGTCGCATGCATCGAACAACCAAGACACTTAAAGACTAAAGAGTTCTAAAACTCATTCAGTCCAAAGTCCTGGGAACAAAAGTCTGAATGATACTCTTGTGAGAATCACTCACTCAAAGTCCAGCGCTGTTGTCGTTCCGCTGCCCCCGAAGTTTCTCTTGCAGGCAACCTCGCGTCTTCAATTGACCGCTCTCCAAGCACCAAACTTCTCCGCCGGTAACACGTCGACTTCCCACACGCAGCTGTTGCCACGCGTCTTCGCTCGCTGGCGGTAGACACACACTTTTGCCTGTAGCACGAGTCTTCACCCCTCAGGTGGAAATCCTCTTCTTCTCCTCCTTTGTCACTGAGGACAAAAGGCTTCGCCGACAAGGCGGAACACCCTACGCACTCTGGCACAATATTCCTTCTTCTCTTGCTTTGTCACTGATGACAAAACCTTCGCCGACTACACGGCGGAACACCCTACGCACTTTGGCGCATACTTTCTTCTTCTCCTGATCTCCCATCTCTGCTGCTCGGTTAAATACCTTCTGCGTGAGATTCCAGAAAGTTCTCATCATTTCGTCGGCGCGATACGCAGCGAAGGCTGGGGAAAGCGCGAGATGGTGGTGGTGGTGGTAGTGGTTGTAAGGAAGAGAAAAAAGGCACCTAATTTCTGTCTGCCTTCAGGCGACACGGCGCAGTGCCTTGTAGGGGTGGAGCGAAGGAGGGATAAAAAGAATAGAAGGAAATAGATGAAGAAATAGACAGGCAAGCCACGGAAAAAAGAAGGAGATAGGAAAGTGGAGATCCGGTGGAAGCAGTCCAAGGGCGGGGAGCCACAATGCGAGAGCTGCGCGGCGTCAGGAGACCGCGGAGGGCGAACCAGTCGGCGGGAGCTACGCTGACGTCGGAGATCGCGAGGGCACAACTGTCCGCCCAGCTCGAAATCCTGCGAGCGAATTCCAGAGACGGTCCGAGGGCCGTCCGCGATAGATGACGCAACCCTGCATCACCCCGCCGCTTTCCATCGAGAACTTTCCAGGGCTTGTTCGGCCGCCGATGTGAGGAGGTTCGTCGGCGAACCTACGCTTCCGAGGGGAGAGAGACGCGCGCCCGGGGAGTCTTTGGATGCTTGTTTTCTTTTTATCATTGACCTCGAGGCATCTCTCCGGCGCTTCGTTGCGAGAATTCGGCGGCGCGCCCTTTTTTGAGCGCTCGTTTTGTGACACCAGGTAAGGTCTAAAATAGCGTTCAGCCATTAAGACTGCAAAGGCTTCCTTCTCTGTAGTCATGTAGTTCAGTTAAGTTTCCGAAAAGGTGTACGTATAGCACCCGACGACCCTCTTTGACGGCTCTGTGGAGAGTCGGTATCTCTCTGGTAAAGCACTGCGCCTGCGCCATAATAAGAAGCATCGGTGTTCAGTTCAAAGGGCAACTTGAAGTCTCGAAGAGTCAGGACCAGATCCGATGAAATAATGGTCACAAGGCTGTGATAAACGGATTCCCACTCTGCTGTCCACCGAAATGGCACATTCTTTTTAGTCAGTTCTGTGAGGCATTCGGTTTTGGTCGCATAATTCCATTGAATGGCTGGAAATGCCCTGCAAGACCAAGAAATACCCGCAAAGAGTGCAAGTCATATGGCTTCTGCCTTTTTGCGATTCGTTCGACTGATTCCTGTTTTGTTGTCTTGGTTTGGCCGTCAAATACTCTTCCAAGAAACACCACTTTACTTTGGAAAAACTCGCTCTTATTGTCATTAATTTTGAGCTCGGCGTCACAAAGTGCTTGAAATACACTAGCCAGATGGTATGAGTGCTGTTCCTCGTTGCGGGAGTATACTAATATGTCGTCTATGTAGACGTTACAAAACTTCCCGATAAACGGTCGCAAGACGTCGTTCATTATTTTCTGGAACCAAGCGGGTGAGTTCTTCCATCCAAATGGAAGTCGGTTATACTCATAGATGTTAAAGGGCGTGATGAAGGCAGAATATTACTTGCACTTTTCAGAAATCGGAACTTGCCAAAATCCTTTACATAGGTCAGTGCGCGAGAAAACTCTGCAGCCACCCGTGTCATCTATGATAGAGTCTATACGTGGCATAGGAAACGGAAAAAGCTCAGTCTGCTTATTAATTTGTCTGTAGTCCGTGCAGAGTAGAAGACTTCCATCTTCCTTTAGTGCAATGGCGATGGGTGAAGCGAACGTAGACGTGGATGGACGGATAATCTGCGCATCCAACATCTTTTGAATTTCGTTCTGAAACCACACTTTCTTCTCTCGTGACATATTATAGGGCTTTTTTTCTCACCACCGTCGTATCACTGAGCTGGAATGGAACCTCAAACTTGGTAGTTGTAGGATATCCTTTCAGGCACAGCAATTCCGGGTAAAGCGTTCTAACATCTTCATCTGACGATGATTTCCGCGGATTCCTTGAAGGCGAAACTGCAGCGTTTATAGCGCGGCGCTTTTCTTCTGTGGTAATTTCGCCTGTCCAGTAGATATTAAGGCGAAGTGCACTGATGACTGGACGTGAAAGCAGTAGTTGATACGGAACTCCGTCGAGTACCAGTGCTTGCGCAGTGACAGTGTTGCCGAGACACGATATGGTTATACGAGTCCATTTATCGTGAACATCTCTTCTTCTATCGTATCTGTGTACTTCTACTGGTCTTCCCTCTTCTACTTTTGCCCTCTCAACAATATTTGCGTTAATAATCATGACGATTGCTCCACTGTCAACTAACGCACTCCGTTGCTTTCCATCCACAAAAACAGATATGTACAATAGACTTGTACGAGACAAATAAACAGCTTCTCTTGATGTCATCGGGTGGAAGCCGAGACCCTCTCTATTTAGTTTTTTGTTACGTCATCTAGCTCTTCGCCATGGTCTGAGCCTCCCTGGGTGGTCAGAAAGGATACGGATGTTGCAGTAGGTCTCCAGCTTGCAAGCGGGCGTCGTTCCTCAGCTCGTGTGGCTCCGGTATTCCTTGCAGCAGGTGTCATGGGTTGACGCTGGGTTCCTAGGTCCTGGAGGTAGAGGTTTCGCATTCCCTGTAGAAGTTCTTCGACCGTCTTGGGTCCTCGCATTTGTATTTGCTTCTGGAGGTCCGGACTTAAACCATGAATGATAAGCGGAACCATAGACGTCTCAGGCAAAGATGAGCCCGCCAGCTGTAGCAAGCGCCTTTTGTTATAAAAATCGCTGAGTGCAGATCCAGACCTGTATTTGAACGTGATTGCTTTGTCCCATAGCAACACCTTGTTCTCGCTGAAGGAGC